GCGGACCATAACGAGTGACCAAACCGTATACAATAATTTGTCTTCTTTTTGAATTTATCGGTATGTCACTGGATAGAAATTGCCGAAAAGTAATAAATTTATTATTTTTTTTTGCCCGAATTATACTTAAATACTCTTGAAACTGGGAAAATATTGCAATTTTGGAACAAAATATTCTCGAGCGCAAGAGGTTAAGATTAATCGCTTGCGCTGGCAACTGATTGCGGACCATAACGAGTGACCAAACCGTATACAATAATTTGTCTTCTTTTTGAATTTATCGGTATGTCACTGGATAGAAATTGCCGAAAAGTAATAAATTTATTATTTTTTTTTGCCCGAATTATACTTAAATACTCTTGAAACTGGGAAAATATTGCAATTTTGGAACAAAATATTCTCGAGCGCAAGAGGTTAAGATTAATCGCTTGCGCTGGCAACTGATTGCGGACCATAACGAGTGACCAAACCGTATACAATAATTTGTCTTCTTTTTGAATTCATCGGTATGTCACTGGATAGAAATTACTAAAAAGTAATAAATTTGTTGTTTGTTTTGCCTGGATTATACTTAAATATACTTAAAACTGAGAAAATATTGCAACTTTGGACCAAAAAGTTCTCGATGTGCGTCGTTCTAGCACAAGAGGTTAAGATTAACTTCTTGATTGCGGACCATAACGAGTGACCGAATCGTACACAATAATTCGTCTTCTTTTTAAATTCATCGGTGTGTCACTGGATGGAAATTGCCGAGAATTAATAAATTTATTATTTGTTTTGCCCGAGTTATACTTAAATATACTTAGAACTGGGAAAATATTGCAATTTTGAAACAAAATATTCTCGAGCGCAAGAGGTTAAGATTAACTGATTGCGGACCGTAACGAGTGACCAAATAAGCGTATACAATAATTCGTCGCTTTCTTATTGAGCTCGTCGATACGATATCGCTAGATAAAAATTATTAAGAAGTAATAAATTTATTATTTGTTTTGCCTATTTCGTCTTTACTTAAATGTACTGAAAACTGAGAAAATAAATACACTTTTGGAGCAAAAAATTCTCGACGTGCGTGGCACGTCGTACCAGCGCAAGAGGTTAATAACAAATGACGCGAAAGTGCGTCACCAAACAGCTAGCCGCTGTTTTACAAACGATCGCGGTGCCTGTATAATGTTAATAATAGAATAAGAACGGAGAAGCAAGCCGCAGAAGCTCGAAAGACGCCGATATCGGTCCGAGAGATAGGTGCGAACTGGTCTGGGCTCGGACAGAGTCAGTATCGCATCGTCGGGACGCTAGATGGATAAAACGAGAGAGAAAGAGAGATAGTAAGAGAGAGAGAGAGAGAGAGAGAGAGAGTGGTGGGTAGCGAAACCCTGCTGGAAAACCCGAAGCAATCACACTCGGACACGAGGGGTCGCTAATTCGATTACTAAGAGCCAAGAGAGCGCTGCCCTCTTGGCCCGATCCGGTCAAACCACCCTCAATGCCTCCCCCTTCGTGCATCAGCTCGCCGATCGTCGCCGGCTCCCGGTACTTTTTCACCCTCGCGAAAACCAGCCCGAATATCGCAGCCATTAGGCGTATAAAAGCGTCGGGCGCAACCCCCTGGTTAACCCCCCTTGCCAGTTTGTCGCGTCCACCTTGTTACTTGTAACTGCATATGGCACGCGCACCCGTGAAAAAACTTCTCCTCGGGCGAGCGACCGAAGATTTCTCCCTTTTGGTTTTACAATTTGTTTGGTTCTCTTTCTCTTTCTCTCGAAGGCAGTGCTCTTCGTCGAGGAAACTTCTTTCTTTTTTGGCGGGAGGATTGTTTCTTGAACGAAATTATCTTTTCTGGTGTAAATTGTTCATTGTTTCGAATGGACAAGGAAAATTGTAAACGCGTGGAAGAAATATCGAGAAAGAGAATGATGACAAATATAGCCTAAGAAATGTTCTTCTTGGAGGGTGGAGGCGATACCCTCTGTATATAAATTTACGCAATTTACGATCATTTCTCCATTGTTTCGAATAGATAATTTTATTAAGTCGAAAAAATTTGAAACAAAATTGAAAACTTGTGAGAAATATCGGAGAATCTCTATGAAATATACAGGGCGTAATATATAGGGTGGTCACTGAGAAACTGAAGAGTTTTAAAGATTCATAAAAAAAAAGAATTTTTTTTAATTTATAAAAATTCACACGTAATACTGAAAAAGATCCATTATATATATATATATGTCCAAATAAAATAATAAGAAATTAAGAAACACGTGTTTGTGTAAAAATTATTTTCGTTTTATATCGTTCAATCTTTCAGTGAGACCACCCTGTATTTCGATAGCCTATTCTAACAATTTTAGGCAACTTCACCGCATGAATGTAAATGCAGACGGTAAAAATTCGTAACGTTCGAGTATCGATGGTTGGGATCCCCCGTCGGGATCATCGATCGAATGCATCGTTTATATATCACGACCATCGAAGGCCAGTTCAAAGAAGATTTAGCAGGGTGTAGCCGAGGGGTTGCACGGTAAATATCCAGTAACTGGAAAATTCCAGTAACGTTCTCCAACAGCCATCGCCATGCTTCAAAAACTTGGGAGCAACCGGCGATCGTAAACATGGTGGGCGCAATGTTTGAGGCGGGGGGAGAGCGAAGCGGAAACGGTGGTAGCACCGCGATGGCCATTTGCAGAGTGAGACAGAAATCGGCCACTTTCTTTCGACTTTCGACGACGTTTCGCTCACGTTTGTACGTAATTCCTCGTTTCTTTTTTCCTTTCTCGAAAAAGTCTCGAAACATCGTTCACGTTCTCTTGTTTCCTGTACACGCGAACGAAAATCAAACGTTCGGGCCGAAGTTTCTCCCTTTCCCTCGGTCGTGGCGTAAAATCATTTGCGATTTTCTTTGCGACTGGTTTCTTATTTATTCGAAATTGGACGAACGAAACGATTTGAAATTTCCGCTTTTCCTCGTGACACGGGATGTATAACAGTTGGGCAAATATTGAAAAATCCAGTAAGAGATCTGAAACTCTCTCTTTAAATAGGAACGTTTAGTTTCTGTCAGAAAGTCCCCGCAATGATTTGAAGCTTCTCCTTCAGCCGAGGTATGAAATTCGTGATTTTCAATTAATTGATTTTCAATACTATTAATTTCTTTCTTTCTCAGTTATCTCATCTTTCATCGACCACTTTTCCCGGATCACTGTAGGTATGGTTGGGGAAATATTGAAAAGTCCAATATATAAAAGATACAGCTATTTCCAGTGTCTGAAATTTTCTCTATAAATCAGAACATCTATTTCTTGTTGAAAAATCCATCTCTTCCATCGCTTTCAGGCTTCAGTTATGGTTCAGAGTTTGGATTCTAATTCTAGAAAAATTGGAACAATTGAATAAGAATTTTGTCATTTGAATAATTTCAATCTTCTTTTTTTAACTTAGTATTAGAGTAATTACGAATAATTTCCAAGAGCCGAACGAAATATTTCTCATTTTAGATTTTTTGGTTGGTATATTTGCTACTCTGTTCTCAGTTGATGTCAATATGTTGCCAGCGGAGATGCAAACAGAATGTATCGAGTTGCAATCAGATACGCAACTCGAGGGGAAATTTATCCAAGTGTAGATTTATTAGACTTTTATAAACTACACCTGTCTAAAGAAAAATATATTCTGCTCTTCACGAACGTATGAACACGCTATTTATAATGCCCCTTTTGAGACAGTTTTCAGTACTTACATTCGCCAGCAGAAGCACAGAAAACACAGAAAAAAATAAGATAAAATAAAATAAGAAGAAAAATTATATACGAGCATGTTCAAGCATTGCCACTATCTTCATATCAAGCCAGATATTGATGAACTAATAATAATATCTATCTGAAGAACAAGTAAAAAATTTTCATATTCTTTCAATTGGTATAAACACACTTCTCTAATTGACGTATTGTTTCACTGTAAAAGTTATTGTCATATTCCCATGAATAATATATATTCACATAAACAGATATGTGAATTACGGCCCTTGACAAATTTTTATTGACCAACGAAGCCCAGAAGATCTAAAAGCCTGGACACTCAAAAAGGTTCCAGGGCCAAAAATTCTGCATCCCAAATCCTCTTGCTCTAACGTGAAGAAAAAAAAAAAAAGAAAAAAAGAAAGAAACACCAAAGAGAAGAGAAGAGCCTCCAATCCAGCGTTGCGCTTCTTTTTCCATTTTCTTTTTTTTCTTTTGCCCCCGTGGAGACCAAAGAGTCGGACGAGTTTTCCTCCGACTGTTGGCTGTTGCCCGCTCCTTCAACTCGCGGTTATTTATGGTTTTACTTGGGCGCGTCCGATGGCTGCCGGCCGGGCAGATTGCTTTTTGATTTGCGCTTAATCGGGAAAAGTTATGGGCCCCGGAGAGATACAGGCGGAAAAGAGCAGCCGCGAGAGAGAGGGAGAGAGAGGGACAGAGGTAGGGAGAGAGATACGCGTGTTAGGGGGCGTACACAACTAACGCGGCGGGCCGCATATTAAACCATAAATTCATGCGAGCCCCAAGTTATCGCGGCGAGGAAGCCACGCTGGCGTTGGACTTGAACGCGTCACTTTTTTTTAAACGTGATTTTCATTCGCCATGGCGAACCCGCGGCCCCGTCCGCCTTTCCCTTCAATTTCACCGCGCGTACGTAACGTCCGGCCTGTCGATTGCACTTTTTATCCAGCCCGGAACCATCGTTCTCCGGGACCGGTTCCCCGGCGGTGACCGGTGTCACCGATCGTTTGACTTCCCGTAAATTACCGAGCCATGTCGCGCATTTTTTCACAAGGATTCTCCTTTCGCCTTTCAGACAGTCTGCTCCGGAAATTTTCTTTCACTCTTGCATTCATTCACCAACCGCCGATGATTCGAATTTTCAAGAAGAATAGCCGAAGAGCGTGTCGCTGGTTATGCGATTGAAAGCAATCTGACTGCAACGGTGCAATCCATCCTTTCGATCGATGAATTCGTTTCGAAGTTTTGTCGTGTTCGTGGCGAAAGAAAATGAAGACAGAATTCTCCGTTCTGCTCCTTCGCAGGTTCGCTTGAATATCGAAGCAATCGCACATTTACACACTACAGAATAGCACGGTGTTGATCTATCCTCGAATTTTTTTTTTTTTTTTCTTCCAAATTTGTCGTGTTTGCGACGAGAGAAGTTGACGATGGAACCTTGTGCAGATTTGAGAGTGACAAAAGAGAACGACAAGGCAAGGTGTGGTAAGGGAAGGTAAGGGAAGGAAAGTGCAAGTGAACGGCTGTTATTGAAGTCGACTTGGCATGTGGGTAAAATTGCTGGTCGGTGATCGTTACGTTGCGAACGGTCAGCTATTCCCAATCACTTCTGAGCTTTATTGGACGACGTGCTGAATTATAAAGGAAGATCGAACCCTCCGGCGATACGTGTCGGGCCACGGAACTCGCCCGGAGGTTCCTGACCTTCTTACCATCGAAACAAGAGCCGAGTTACCTCGAGTTTCGAAGTGAAATTCTCCAAAACACTCGATCTTCGCGCGAAACGATCGTACCCGAGTGGATATCACTTCTTCTTCTTCTTCTTCTTCTTCCAACGACCGAGAAATACGATCGTTTCTGTCGTTACGATCGAAAGGACGGATAATTCTGATCGAGAAAAGAATCATTTAAGACGATGCGTCTTTAATCTCTTGCGCTGGATTGACGTGCCACGCACGTCGAGAATATTTCGCCCAAAATTCCAATATTTTCTCAGTTTTAAGTAGATTTAAGTAAAACAAAATAGGCAAAACAAATAATAAATTTGTTAGCTCTCAATAATTTCTATCCAGTAATATCACACAGACGAGTTCAAAAAAAAAAAAAAAAGAAAGAATTATCGTGTGCGGTTTGGTCACTCGTTCGCATTATGGTCCGCAATCAGTTGCCAGCGCAAGCGATTAATCTTAACCTATTGCGCTCGAGAATATTTTGTTCCAAAATTGCAATATTTTCCAAGTTTTAAGTATATTTAAATATAACTCGGGCAAAACAAGTAATGAACTTATTACTCTTAGTAATTTCTATCCAGTGACATACCGATGAATTCAAAAAGAAGACGAATTATTATATACGCTTCGGTCACTCGTTATGGTCCGCAATCTAGAAGTTAATCTTAATCTCTTGCGCTCGAGAATATTTTGTTCTAAAATTGCAATATTTTCCCAGTTTTAAATATATTTAAGTATAATTCGGGTAAAACAAATAATAAATTTATTACTACTCGGTAATATCTATGAATTCAAAAAGAAGTCGAATTATTATATACGCTTCGGTCACTCGTTATGGTCCGCAATCAAAAAGTTAATTTTAATCTCTTGCGCTCGAGAATATTTTGTTCCAAAATTGCAACATTTTCTCAATTTTAAGTGTATTTAAGTATAACTCGGGCAAAACAAATAATAAATTTATTACTTCTCGGTAATATCTATGAATTCAAAAAGAAGACGAATTATTATATACGCTTCGGTCACTCGTTATGGTCCGCAATCAAGAAGTTAATTTTAACCTCTTGCGCTCGAGAATATTTTGTTCCAAAATTGCAATATTTTCCCAGTTTTAAGTATATTTAAGTATATTTAAGTATATTTAAGTATAACTCGGGCAAAACAAATAATAAATTTATTACTTCTCGGTAATTTCTATCCAATGACATACCGATGAATTCGAAAAGAAGACGGATTATCGTGTACGGTTTGGTCACTCGTTATGGTCCGCAATCAGTTGCCAGCGCAAGCGATTAATCTTAACCTCTTGCGCTCGAGAATATTTTGTTCCAAAATTGCAATATTTTCCCAGTTCTAAGTATATTTAAGTATAACTCGGGCAAAACAAATAATAAATTTATTAATTCTCGGCAATTTCCATCCAGTGACACACCGATGAATTTAAAAAGAAGACGAATTATTGTGTACGATTCGGTCACTCGTTATGGTCCGCAATCAAGAAGTTAATCTTAACCTCTTGCGCTAGAATGACGTGTCGCGAACTTTTTGTCCTAAAATTGCAATATTTTCTCAGTTTTAATTATATTTAAGTATAACCCAGGCAAAACAAATAACAAATTTATTACTTCTCAGTAATTTCTACCCAGTGACATGCCGATAAATTCAAAAAGAAGACGAATTATTGTATACGGTTGTTTGGTCACTCGTTACGGTCCGCAATCAGTTGCTAGCGCAAGTGGTTAATAGAAACAGAAAAACTGTTTAATTACATGGATAGAAGATTGCAAATAGAAGAAATATTCCTTTTGAATAATTTAACTTTCCTTTGAATACTTATTTAATAAAACAGACTAAAAAATACCATTTATTTAGTGTTTTGCGCTCTTGGATTCGTATATTTATGTATTAATATTGTATTAATATTTATCAATATATTGAACTTTTTTCATATATTTTGTTCGACTACCTTTTGCCATCTTTCTTTCGCCAACCTCCGTGTTCAAAAAAATTCTCATCTTTCTCGACGAAATAAAATGACCAAAAAGAGTTTTAGATATATACGTATCAATAATGTTATTTGTCTCTTACCTTTGGCAGCTTCCTCCTGCGCCTGTATCAAAGTCTTAGACGCTTTCCCTTCGTTGGTAGGTTGTTGGCTCTTCAGTTCGAGGCAATTCTCCGGGCTGACCGATCGGTCTCTGGTAATCGGTGGCGGTGACGGGCTGCATCCCAGCAACTTTCTCACGGAGAGCTTCAGCTCCGGTGTCTTTAGTGGCGGCAGACTGTCCCCGGTGTTAACCACGTCCTTCACCTCCTTGCTCTTGGTCGTGACGGACAGATCTTCCGGTTGGAGGCGGCCTTCCGGCGACGGCGGCTCGTCCGCGCTGCTCGCCTCCACGCTCGAAGCGTCCTGACCGGATTCCCGACTTCCTCTACCGATATCTGCGGAACGTCAGATCGACGAAAATCAATGTCTCGACGTCGTCGTCGGGTCGCTGTTCTTCTGTTCGTCGGTCGAATTCAAATTCTTCCGATCGCGATTGCAAATGTATCTTTTGTGGATCTTTGCGGATCGTTGTTAACACGCGAACGCGTTCGATAACCGGTAGAATACTACATCGGTTGACGACAGTAATTCTCTAAACGATGGCAAGGAAAAAGATAGACGACAGAAACTTTACATTATCAAAGAAGAAGAAATGACAGAAATTTTGTCGATGAATGAATGAACGAAACTTGATGATAGAAATTTTCAATTCCTCGAATTGCAGTAATTGAAAAATTACTCTACTTTACAAATATGGATATAGGTATATATGTTTTTCCTATATTTTTGCGCCTCTGAGGACCCTACGAACGTGCGAACATTTAATCGATAGGATATTCGACAATAACAATTCTCTAAGGACAAGGTACTAGCTGTAAGTGTTCTTTATCGGAAAAGGAGGATGAAACATCGGATGATAGAAATTTTGTTTCATCGATAATTTACCCAAGCCACGGACGATCAAGTGGAACGAGACAGTCACGATCAGGCAAGAGAGAATGAAATTGGAACAAGTCGAATTGCTACGACTCGATAGAGCAGAATTGTAAAAACTGTATTTCTGAGGATCTACTTTCACATCGAGGACTCGAGATTCGTTCGACGCCGTCTTCGAGAACGATGATAGGACTCGCGATATTCTTTCACAAACTGTCGCGAGAAATTGTCGATTCACTGAGCAGGAAAAGGAGACATCGCGCGACGATAGAGGAGAAATTTTCCAACGAGAAATTTGTCCCCTGCAGCGCAGTAACGGCAAGGATGTCGTCAAAGGTTTGCCAAGAAACAGAATAGAAATGTGCGCCTACCCCACGTGACCTGAGAACATCTCCCAAGAAGACTCAAGACGTGTAAAAGAAAATCGATCTTCGAACTTCACAAACCGACTGTTCCCTCGTCGACGAACATCATCACCAGGAAACAATCGTATCCAACCAGCACGTCGTGTCGTCACCCACCACGTCGATCGTTCGCACTCGATCGAGATCGATCGGATCGCCGGTAGCCCTTCACTGTCAATCGCGGTCATTCCACACTGAACACGAAAAATCAAATCAAAGTGGAGAACGAGAGACGAGGTCGGTGGCGTGAAACAGACGAGAGGAAGGAAGTGGAAGGAAATGGAGGAATGAGAAACGTACTGGCAGAATCGTTCTCCGCAGAATCGCCGAGTAAATGCGCGACACTGAGGGTGATCCTTGCGGACGGATGTGGTTCGGTGGCCGTCTTGCATGCCGCGTGTTCGCCAGCCGCGTTGTCGAAGCTCTTGGAGACGAACTGGGCGAGCTGCTCCATCCTCGCGGAGAAGACTCGCGCGACGACGCGGCCACTCGCGCGTCGACCTCGTCGCCGAGGACGAGAGCACCGAAGGGGGTGCACGGAGGTGGCCGGTTGTTGGCTGTTCGCTGCCAGCTGCTGGCTGACGCTCGGCGTCGCGACGCCACGCGTCCCCCAGGACGCCATTCGGACGCCGGCCAATCCAGCCGCTCGTAGGCGTTTCCGTCTACGCCCTTCCGCCTTCTACCTTCCGGTCTCTCTCTCTCTCTCTCTCTCTCTCTCTTTCTCTCTCTCTCTCTCTCTTTTTCTCTCTCGCAACCACCCTTCGATCGTTCGCCACCTTCCTCCACCACCGTAAACTCGCTACTGCCCGTAAACCGAGGCTCATTAGCATTTCCGCCCGCTTTTCCGCTCGCCAGGCGCAAACTACCACCTATCGATGCCCACGATGCCGAGCTGTCTGCCACCTTGGCCACCCGTTCACCCTTGTCCTTCGTCTCCTTCTTTCTCAGTTCCCCGTTTATCAGTTTTCAGTTTTCAGTTTTCCGTTTTTTTTTTTTTTCGTTCGCAACCACTTCGACGAAGTGGCTTGTTCTGCTGGCAATTTGCGCACGCTAAGGATTTCGAAAAAACCTAGACACTCCGGCAACTCGAGTGTTCGTTAATCGACCGGCTCTGAGGGGTGAGCTTGTTAACAAATGAAACTTCATGAAGCGTGAAACGTCAGATTCGTCAGGAACGTTAAAGCGAAAGGAAATGGAAAAGCTTTGCGATGCAATAAATTACAGACTATTTTTTTTTTAAATCGTCCGAATTTTTAAAAATACATACGTTTTTACGTCTGTGCAATTTTTCACAGGAATTATACTGTAAATTCTGACCAGTTCTGGCGTTAACAAAGACGGGTGGAAGAAACAGGGATGGAAATTATAAATAAGTTCGTTGCATTAGGGAGGAAATTATTTTTCGAAAATGATGGATTTTTTTCAAACGTACAAAGAAAAGAGATTATGTGTGAACAGGAGGAAGAAACAGCAATGGAAATTAAAAATAAATTGGTCGCTATTATCTTTCGAAAATAGTTTTTTCAATCACATTAGGGGTATCCATAAGTAACGTGGTTTTTTTTTAAATTTAATAAACATTGCCATCTAGTGACAACATAATCTATATTTCTAGTTGAACATATTGACATTTATTGTTCAATTATATTACAGATGAAAACTGTGTTAACTCTTGAATGAAATGAAATTTTGTACAAAACAATTTTATTTCATTTAAAATTTTTGTATGAAAAAACTACTCCTAATGCAAAGAAAATAGATTATGTGCAAAGGAGGAAGAAGTAGAGATGGAAATTAAAAATAAATTGGTCGCTATTATCTTTTGAAAATAGTTTTTTCAATCACATTAGGGGTACCCATAAGTAACGTGGTTTTTTTTTAAATTTAATAAACATTGCCATCTAGTGACAACATAATCTATATTTCTAGTTGAACATATTGACATTTATTGTTCAATTATATTACAGATGAAAACTGTGTTAACTCTTGAATGAAATGAAATTTTGTACAAAACAATTTTATTTCATTTAAAATTTTTGTA